TTAAAAATAGGAGAAAAGAGATTGAAGAAAAAAATGATGTGGTATTTAATGATATGTTATCTTTACTTATTGTGGCAAATACTGAAAAAGATAAGAGTAGCAAATCTGATTTACGACCCATGACTGATGATGAAATTATGGGAAATATTAGGGATGCATTTATTGGTGGAAGCGAAACGGTAATTATAACCTTTATTATTGCTATTTGCAAAAATTTTGTGAAAATCTGCAAATCAAAAAAACTAAAGAAATCAAAAGTGCTCCAATATCTAGATGTGAAATTTTCATATTAGAACAATTTTAAAAAATTAAAAATCATCTAACAATCGAGTGATTTTTCGATCTGCAGGTTTCACAAATTTTGCAATCCGAAATAAATCATCTTAAATTCTTTGAATAATATTAATTTTTACTCTTAATAGACCACAAATGCGATCTGCGTTTTAATCTATTACATATGCAAGCATCCAAAAGTCTTAGAAAAGCTTCGCCAAGAGCTTGACATGGTATTTGGTGGAGATTGTGATCGTCCATTTACTTCAGATGATATCTCTAAATTAAAATATTGTGAAGCTGTAGTCTATGAAACAGGAAGAATGCATCATATCGCTCATTCTGCTTCTCGTTTAAACACAGAACCTGATGAATTGCTTGGTTATCAATGGCCAGCACGTTCCGAATTTATAATGTTTTTTGAAGGTGGAAATAAAAATCCTCTATATTGGGAAGATCCTGAGGTCTTTAATCCAGATAGATTTATGAAAGATGATAAGATAATAAAAAGGAATTTTATATATTTTGGTGCAGGGATCCGACAATGTCCTGGTAGGAAATTGGCAATGATAGAGATGATAGGAATAATTGCTATGTTATTTAGAAAGTATAATGTTACTTTGATGAACGAAGAATTACATTACAAAAGTATGATATTTAATTCTATTATTGAGGGAATGTTTATAAAAATTACACCAAGAAAGGATGAAATTTAATTAATATTATACCCTGGTCACTATATCAGGATCGCAGGGTATAAATCAGTTATACCCTGGGTACTGTGTGTATAAACGGAAATTTCATTTCCGCTTATACCCAACTACCCAGGATATAACTATTACTTATAGTCGTAACCATTTTTAATAAACATTATATTTATATTTGCATTGGAATATTACTGATTTAAGAAACAATGATATTTTTGATATTTCTATTATATCCGATTTTGTATTAATATCCATGTGCTAAATCTGAAATTGGGTTGCGGACCGCAAATGATTTATAAGTTTCCGCAACTAAAATCTGAAATGTATATGCTGGTTCCGCAAATAATTTGTGAATTTGCATATAGATACATTCAAATTTGCATATAAATACATTCATCTGCACAATTAAATCCATATAATCCGCAAGTAAAGCTTTTTATTTAGTTGCAGCAACTGGTCCAGAGTACAACAGAGGACTCTTACTTCAAGTATTTTTTTTTCAATGAATTTTAAGTAAGCGGATTTGACGCAATGAGTAAAAACATTATTTATAATAATCAATAATTATCAATATTTACCGTAGTGCACTGACCAAAATATACCCCCATTTTCAGTATCCTCCAGTTAAAATACCCTGGTATTTTATATGGCATATTTTTTAACGAGGGATAATAACCTGGTACTTTAGATGGTATTTTTCACACCACTACATATTGATTTCCGCATCACATATATATGTTCATACAAAATACCCCACACAATATACCTATCACCGATCAAAATACCAATCAAAAATTTTCGAAAATCGAGATTTTGTAATCAACCGATGTTCAACATTCATCGATTCCAATCTCTACTACAAACTTATTAAATAATTAAAGCGCAATATCAAGAATTTAATATTTAACTTGCTTCTTTTTAATTTATCTAATAAACTTTATGATTTAAATACCGTTTATATGACTGGTATATATTTCATTGTCGAATTTTCGAAATTTGTTCTCATAATTTTATATTCTGTGTAGAAACATGGTAGAAAATGCGAGGCTTATTATTGTAACTAATCACAAATAAAAACTTTAGTTATGGTTAAATCCTAACAGTTTTTACTGCATCTCTAATTCTGTGGCTTTAAATGAAACGGCTATTTTTAGATGATCTATATGCATGTATTTCTAACTAACAGCTAAAAAAAATCAGGTTTACGTACATATTTATGTTTAGATCATTTCAGTTAATAATATAAAAATTAAAAAGTCTAAATGGCTAATCTGGATGCCAAATTACTGACGCATTAATATGAGGTCAAATTTAGGTGCGTCAAAAATTCTAGGGTGTTCCGCAGATATTTATAAAATTTAAAAGCTTAATTACTAAGCTATTAAATCAAAACCAATTAGATCCAATTTTATAAAACATAGAGGATAGTTTTTTAAAGTTATTATTTAGAATCACATTAAGGTTAAATAAGTAATATAATTAGTTGATTAAAATTTATAAAGATCTTATAATCTACAACAATAAATATAAAAGCTAAGATTAAATAAAGCTAAGCAATAATATAATTAGTACGTAGATTAAATTTATATAGATCGTATAATATAATCTGCAACAATAAATATAAAAGCTAAGATTGAATAAAGCTAAAAATATAAGTCTCAATTTAGATTTATAAAACCTACTAAAACCTACTTAAAAATTCCTAACTCTAAATTGTAATCTATAATAAAAAATTTTACCTTTAACCAATTTCAACATCAGCCACCACAATAAAATCAACTTTTACTAAACAACCACGGTATTTTTTTATGATTTAATAAAATGTTATATTCGATATACAAAACTTGCCAGAACTTTACACATATAAAAAATAAAAAATAGTATAATAAAAACATATAATAGATAATACTGTAGCTTCATTTTGTAATAAATAAATAATATAACTATATACATTTATATTAATA